GCACATGTCACACTGAGTGGCGAACCCACGACGCTGAACATCGGGATCCGTGGTGTAACACGTTGAGCTAATCACTCATGCACGTTCACCAGCCTGCTGAGTAGAGGTTTCAGTGTGAGAATGAGTTCACAAAAAAGTTCCATGACATGTTAACCAGATTAGCATGCTAAGCTAGCTTAATGCTAATTTAGCTTATGACGTGGTACATCCAATCCTGGCAAAATAGATATCATCGGATTCGACATGATGCAAGGAATCGATAGACACCAATTTTATGATTTTGTGACAAACTGTTCACAAGTTACAGCCTCTGAACCAATGTTGGGTCGACCTTGTTAAATTTGCGACATCATAACTTTTTTTTTTCCAGTATAGCAAAAAAATCGGGAACAGTACTTCTGTGCGGCTCGGTCCGAAGATCATTTGAGCAAATTTTGGACAATTTTGGACAAATTTTGAAGGAGAAGTAGCGAAAAAACTGTTTTACATTTGCTCCAATATGGCGGCCAGTCACATTGTTGGAAAATAGCATATGAGATATCGTTGAAATCGGCATAAGCCAAGGAATATATTGACATAAAGAAATCAAATTTCAAGCAATGATAGCAAAAGTTATAAGCGTTTTTTCAAAAAACAATGATATCTCTGGAACACTAGGTGGCGCTGTGATCAAACTTCTCAGGTACCTCCGGGCCATGCTAATGGTGATCCATACCAAATTTGGTGAAGAAATTTCAAATAGTTTAAAAGATATTGCAAATTATGACAAAATTCAAAATGGCGGACACGGGGTACATCCCATCATGGCAAAATCGATATCCACGGATTCGGCATGATGCAAGGAATCCATAGATACCACAATTATGATTTTCTGACAAAGTGTTCAAAAGTTATTGGCCAAAATAGCATTTTTCCATATCTCATGACCCGTAGGTGGCGCTGTTCCTGACTTTGGCAGGGTCCCTCAGATCATGCTTCCGATTAAGCGTACCAATTTTCGTATCGATTGATCAAACTTTGGCCGAGATACAGCCTCTTAGCCAATTTTGGGTGGACCTCGTTAAGTTTGCGACAGTACAACTTTTTTTTTCCAGTATAACAAAAAAATCGGGAACAGTACTTTTATGCGGCTCAGTCCGAAGATCATTTGAGCACATGGTTGGAGAAAATTGGACAAAATTTGAAGGAGGAGTAGCGAAATAACTGAATACTGTACATTTCAAAATGGCCACTACTGTAATGGGCGGGGTCTTAATGTAAGGTATTGGTTGTGATCAACATGATGAGTGGAATCAGGTGTACTAAGTTTCATGTCTCTAGATCAGGGGTCGGCAACCCAAAATGTTGAAAGAGCCATATTGGACCCAAAAAAAATAAAAAATATCTGTCTGGAGCCGCAAAAAATTAAAAGCGTTATATAAGCCTTATAATGAAGGCAACACATGCTGTAAGTGTTATATTAGCTTTATTAGTATCAAAATGATAAGTAGGCTACAAATTAGAGCTTAGAACGGCCCAAAAAATCAAGCCCGGCCCGGCCCGGCCCGACACATTAAACGTAATTATGAGCCCGAGCCCGATTTTAACCCGACCATTTTTTAATGCGTGGTTCGTTATAACTGACGTTCTCAACTTTCTTTCTCCCGCCCGCAACATTTGTTTTGTCCCGCTCCCGCCCGCAAATACACTTTTTTCTGTACCTCCAAATACTTTCAAGTTAGCCTACGTGTCGCCACCATACATCCTCCTGATAAATTATTTGTTATTAAAGCATTAAAACACAAACCACTGTTAATTTAACATGAAAGCAAGCAGTTTACTGCGTGCATGGTTTGCCATGACTGAATGCGCGCAAAGTGCGCTCTCTTAATAATCCGTAAAAAGATGACAGTTCATCGCGATCTCACACATCTCTGTTATTATCAATGAAGCTGACTGCACAATGAATCTTTCATAATATCCACACTTTGTTCATTATAATTAAAGGATTTGCCAGCATACAGAATTCAGCACTGAACAAAAACGTCAGTTTCGAGCGATGAGGGGAGTCTATCTTAAATGCTTCTGATTGGCCATTGCGTTCAAGAAATCAACACATATGTCTGTGATTGGCTATATCGCTCAACGCTGCAAACATGTTATGAATAGAAATTCTGCCCTGTAAATCGTTTCTATTTTGTTTTAGTAGAGTGAGTGCATTACCGCACGTGCCCGCGCTCGCGCTCGGCCATCAAATCTAGTCCCGCGCCGCACTCTATTGCGTTGGGAGTGCTCAGCTATCTTTCTCTTTTTCCCCTTGGGATCCATGGCCCATGACACACCCGCCGGTTTGTTTGTTTGTTTGTCAGCCACCGGTCTACCATCACGCCGATCTGACAGACACGTGTGTCACAGTCTATGACGTAAATTCTTCAGTGACAGAAATGTTGAAATAAAATATTTATCATACACATTTTTACAACGTTGAAAAACTTTAAGAATATTTGTCATGTTTTTCCTCATACAAAAATTATATTAAAACAAAAAAAATATTTTTTCCATTTTCAAATTTTTGAAAAAGCTCCAGGGAGCCACTAGGGCGGCGCTTAAGAGCCGCATGCGGCTCTAGAGCCGCGGGTTGCCGACCTATGCTCTAGATCAAAGGGTTCAAAAGTTATAACCATTTCAATGTTGAATTTTTGAACTGGTGGTGGCGCTATAGAGTTGGTCCTAGAGGGTCAAAAATTGGTCCAATTACTATTCATTAGCATCACTACAAGTGTGCCAAATTTCATCATTTTCCTACTTACGGTTCATAGGGCTGCCATAGACTCCCATTCACGGAATAATAATAATAAGAAAACCAACAGATACAATAGGTGCCTCTGCACCTTCGGTGCTTGGCCCCTAATAATTGTCAGTACTTTTGAGAGCTCTGCTCGTGGTTTTAAAGCAATTCAACACATTGGCATTTCTCTCATTTTAAGAGCTTTGAGTGACAGAGTTGACGCAGACTTTAATGTGTGTCGATATTTCTTCTCCTTCTTCCCTGCTGTCTATCAGAACAGTCTCAGACCTGCATCTTCTTCTGCAACCCGTCATCAGGACCTGTTAAAAGCAATGAGTCAGAACTACTAATTGCAACGTGTCTCAGTCAGTACACAATCTGCATTCAAAGTCAAATCAAGTTATGTATTGCTATTCAGCATATGTTTCCATGCAAAGCCTTCTATAACACTTGAACAGCAGGAGCGAATCCTCTGAAGCGACACTGGTTTAATGGTCTGCTGAAGGATTAACAATAATGGAATAGATTTTTCCAAATGTTCATATAGATAGAGTTGTTGCCAATGCCATTAGACTCGCCCGACGGAGCAAACACGCATCTGCCGGTTATGAATATGGCTGTTAAAGATTCAGTGGTTCATTAGCGAGTGTCAGTGTTTGTACACGTGCCATTATTAACATTATGACTCGAGAATCGCCCTTCATAACATTCACACTAATGAACGCTTCACGAGCCAAATCAAACATACAGCACGCCTGTGAAAACACACACACACACACACACACACACACACACACACACACACACTCTCTCTCTCTCTCTCTCTCTCTCTCTCTCTCTCTCTCTCTCTCTCTCTCTCTCTCTCTCTCTCTCTCTCTCTCTCTCTCTCTCTCTCTCTCTCTCTCTCTCTCTCTCTCACACACACACACACACACACACACACCCTGCTATAGGCTGATTGCTGCCCGTTATGTTTTACACACTCCTGCTGCTTCAGTTAGTTATTGTTTCAGATGGTAGTAATTTCTGTTATTTTAAAAAACATAATTTAAAACAATCCAGACGATGCCTAAAAACTCCCAGATCTCGGTGTTTGAAACCTCGAAGTGGAAATGATCCTATCTGATTAGGTTTACCGTTTTTTTTTAATTCGCTTTGGTACTATTTTCACAAGTAAGGTGTAGGCTACATTTTCAAAACTCTTAGTACAAAAATCCAAACTGATCACACGTAACACAGCTAGTCCTTCTTTCAAAACATGATCCCATGCTTTCATTACAGTTATACATTTTTCAGTCCACATAATCATTGTTTCAAACACAAGATTATTGTAATATGTAATGAGAACGTTTGGTTTAATCACAGAAACACAAAAATGGCAAATTTCTCTGTATCTCTCACACACACATGCGTGTGCACACACTTTGAACATAGTGGTGGTTATTATCTATAGCTAAATCACTTATGTAAAAATAATTTATTACATTTGGTTATCCATATCGGAAATTCCAAACAAGTTATAGAAACTGTATATAGAATCAATATCTATAGAAATCTATAGGTGTAGCTACCAAATGATTCATTGATTAACCATTACGATCAGTTGGATTAAATAATAGACAAATGTATTAACTGAACAAAAAGAGATACAAATCAAAAGTTTGATAATAAGAGCTTTATGAAAGGCAGTTACTGAATGAAACAGTTATGTAGATGAAACACTTATTTTGTGTTGTGAAAAGGATACTTTGTGATTTTGTACTAACACAATTGAAAACATGATGAAATGTTTGAAAAAAGTGCACTTTTAATGATCTGTTGTGATATTAGCACAAAGAGTTTTGAAAATGTACACCTTACTTGTGAAAATAGTACCAAAGCGAATAAAAAAACTGTAAATGGTCAGATGTGAGGTGAAGTTATTGTCCCATTTATGATTATCATAGACTTATGATCTAGTTATGGTCTGAGTCTGTCAGTAAAATCTCACCTGGACTTGAGATATCACTGCAAATATACTCACGAGACCAAACATGTACACACCCTCAATCAATGCAGTCACTAAAGATTCCAGTTCTTCAGACAGTATTAACACAAAACACATGTCCACTAGAGAGTGTGTGGAAATGAACAGCTCAGTCAGAATCTGTGAAGTGTGTGTGAATGCTAAACTTTAGACACTTTCTGTGACACTGTAACAGGATCATCATCATCATCATCACTGAGGCGTTTATGAACCCGAGGAGGCAGAGGAAGAGGAAATGATTGTAAATCCATTCAGAACTTCAGGATTCTCCTTTCAACAGGAAAACGAGTGTTTTATCCCCGCCGTCCTGTGGCACATCCTCTTTCAGAGACTCTTCTCCGGGCTTCACCTGAACCTGAGGCGCTTGTGCTCGCGCTGCTGCTGCATGACTTCGGGAAACGCGCAGGTTTGATAGAGTATCTAAAACCCCGGAGGACTGGAAACCTGGAAATGAAGACAGATTGCACGTTCTTCTGTCGGATTTGGATTGGGATTCCCTTCTTCTCAGGTGAGATCAACGCGTGCTCGCATTATAGAACGCGTATCGCTGAGGATTAGAACGTTCGCGTTATGAGGAACGAAGCTGTCAGAACCGCGAGCGCGCGAAAGCCTCGTCATGAAGCGTTTGAATCTAAAAGATCTCGCGCTGGAGAGCTGAGAACGTCTGCACGAGGCGCTTCTAGTTGACGTTGTTAAATGTTGGTTCAGTTCGGCCAATCTTGCAAAAGTTTTTGTACGCGTTTCAACTCTTTCCTGAGTATTGTTCTGCATGCTAATTTTATTCCAAACCCTAACTCTAATCACAAGCAAATTACACAATTCAATTTGCATTGATGATATAATGTAGTTATTGTCATATCTTATCTTGCTTAATTGATTTGTATGTTACATGCAATTTTGCTTCATTTGTTTCTGAATTGACCATGACTGGTCAGGCTTTGCATATAATGACCATTTTAACGCATTACTCACATGGACAATGCAATCAAGGAGTGTGTGTTTGATGAAGTGTATGAGATATCTCACTAGAGGGAGCCTTGTCTTTATTCTTGCCAGCTCAGTGGATGTGTGGTTAATTGGTTTTATTGATGAGAAAGTAATTCCAGGATCAATTCAGTTGAATGGCTTGAGAAGATAAGATAAGCATATTGATGCAATGTTATTTTTGAGCAATGATAGAGATAGAGCAATGCGTTCTTTGCTTTGTGCCTTCTTTCAGATGCATTTTATTTTGGACTTTAATCTTCATGGCATTCGCTGGTGTTTTCTGTTATCGATATCCTGCATATTATCTTCTTTTTTTTTGCGTGGTATTTCTTATGTACACAGTTTTACTCCAGCAGAACACCTCTGAAACCAGACTCTCGGTCAGGGGTCCGGCGTCAGCCAATCATAACAGAGAGCTGTTTGAGACAACACTCAGAAAGCCCAGCTCACGGCACTCAGTTCACTTCGCTCGAGCCTCGGCCAGTGCAGGTGTCCTGTAGAGAACCGGGGAACTAGAGGAGAACCAGTGTAGAGGAGAAGGAGTGAGCCTCCTCGCAATGCTGAAGCTATACGAAGCCCACCTATAGATGTGTGCATTAAAACACCGCGGCACAAATGAAAACCACATGCAGCTTGGAGACCCTGTGATCGACATCACAAGTGCTGTGTCTCTGCTAAAGTCCAAACTGTTGAAAAGCATGCTTTTAAAATGTCGATTTGCAGATATAGCCTATTATCAATCAACCGCAGTGGAAGATTTGAGTGCATTAGGATGCATGTGTCATACGCAGGTTTAATAACGGTTTGACTGACTTCAAGACAGTGTCTGTAGTGTCTCTTATAATGGAAAGTCACTGATTAAACTCCATTGCTGTGTTGGCAGAACAAATATCTCATCATCATCATCAGCTCTCCAGACTGTTTGTAATATGAAATATGACTGGAGCTGAAAGGTCTAATTGTAAAACCGTATTTCAAAACCCGGAAAAGGACTTACCGTTTAGATGTCAAGATCTCACTTTTAGCAATGTGTTTCACATTAGCTGTGCTGTATATGGAGGCTGGGGTTGACATCTCAATGCTTTATTGATATTCTGATCTCTGCAGGAGCAATACAGTTGAAAATGTAGCATTACTATTACTTTTGCTCATATTTAGGATCTGTGAACAAACTTTCAGGTATAAACTTCCGTAAATTTGGCACCCATATACAGACATGAATGAGGCCTGATCATGTGACTCGAGGTGTTTGTTTTCTAAGCCACCTGACTCGTGGCAGATGATAAAAATAAATCACCAAAACATGGTATTTGTGGTATAGATTTAGCTTATTTTAGTTGTTTTAGGGCTAAATGGATGGCCACCCTTACGAAAAAAGTTCATTTTATGAAGTATAGCCTAGTAAAGTAATGTTCAAGTATATTTGTATACTTTATGTAGTAAGTATACTAATATCAATGTGTACTTGTAGTAAACTTGTAAGTGTACTATTTCAACACTGCTTGCATGGCCCACTTTTAGTAAAGTATACGTTTGTGTAGGCTACTGTAAGTGTAACAGTAGTAAACTTTAAGTACACAACTAGGTTTCTCATTTGTACTGCATCTGTACTACGAGTGAACTTATAAGTATACTAGTAGTTTACTATTTTACGTAAGACAAGTAGAATTTTTTTAGTTTATGAAAGTACACACTGAAGTACTCTCAGTAAACTGCTAGTTTAGTAGTTTATACTGCAAGTATCTTTAACTGAACATAACGTTATACTTAGTTTACTATTTATATATTATTTTTGCACTTGCAGTATACTCCTATGTTCAAATTAGGGATGGCCCGATACCGATACTGGCATCGGGGATCGGGCCGATACTGTCCTAATATACTCGTACTCGTACTCATAAAAATTCGCCGATACCACGCACCGATACCACGTACATTTTGCAAAACGAAACTGGCCGCCGCGAGTGCTTTGTTGAGGTGAACTGAGGCATAGGAAAGTATAATGTCGGCGGTTTGGGCTCATTTCAAGATAAGGGATGATGACAACAGCAAGGCAGACTGTGAGTTATGTTCAGCTAAGGTGTCGAGAGGAGGGAAAGAAAGTACATCGTTTAACACCAGCAATCTAATTAAACATCTGAAGACGCATCATAGATCTGATGGCCGAGCGCGCGCGGGCGGTAATGCACTCACTCTGTGTGTGCGGGTGCGGGAGAATAAAACGATTCGCGGGACTCCCGCAAACTAGAAATATCTATGAATAAAACATAAAAACTAAAAGATTTTTATTCATCTCTTGCAGAAAAGCAACAAGAACAACTACAACAAAATAGAAACGATTTACAGGCCAGAGTTTCCATTCATAACATGGTTACAGCGTTGAGCGATGTAGCCAATCACAGACATATGTGTTGATTTCTGGAACGCAATGGCCAATCAGAAGCATTTAAGATAGACTCCCCTCACCGCTCAAAACGGACTTTTTGTTCAGTGCTGAATTCTGTATGCTGGCAAATCCTCTAATTATAACAAACAAAGTGTGGATATTATGAAAGATTGATTGTGCAGTCAGCTTCATTGATAATAACAGAGATGTGTGAGATCGCGATGAACTGTCAGCTTTTTAGGGATTATTAAGGGAGCGCACTTTGCGCGCATTCAGTCATGCCAGACCATGCACGCAGTAGCCTGCTTGCTTTTATGTTAAATTAACAGTGGTTTGTGTGTTAATACATTTATTATTTTACTAATTTTTATTTATTTTTAGACTTGTTAAAACAAGCAGAGAAGAAAATAAAAACAGTCTTCTAACCTGTGTTCTAAAATAGTCGTCTTCTTTTCTGGGAGCCTATTACTTTTGCGGTAGAAATATCGGTATCGGTACTCGGTATCGGCAAGTACACAAATGTAAATACTCGTACTCGTATCGGTTTGAAAAAAAATGGTATCGGGCCATCCCTAGTTCAAATTTTATTTTTTTATACGTGAAAAATACCTTTAACTGTACTTTAATTTTAAAAACATTTTATTAGCTTCATGCATCTTTTGTATCAACACTTGAATGTCGGTAAGTTTCATAAAGAAAGGCAACCTTTTAAACAAAAAAAGTTGAGGAAATCTCATTTTTGTCAAAGACTACGTCTTGATCAGATTCAGGACGATGATGAAAACACAGATGCAGGGCTGCCAACTCTCACGCATTCACCGTGAGACTCACGCAATTGAGCCAATTCTCACGCTCTCACGCCACACCCCCGATTTCTCACGCTGAAGTGTCAACCCAGTCGGTCAAATGCCTGAAAGATAAGTTTATCTATAGATCTACCAGTTGAGCCATTCGTGATCGGCTACTTTTACCGCAAATTAGTTAAAATATCCTGTAATCTATAGCGAGCGAGCGTGCATGCGAGACAGATGTGTTGAGCTCCTAACGGCGCGCTCCTAACCGCGCACGCGCACGACGGCAGAGAGCTTGCGAGCTTGCGTGTCTTTCGCAACACAACCCAGTGGACAGTTACACTGTATTGAGACAGTTGAGAAATAATAATATTTTTACAGTTTTCAACAATAATTGTCATTGTTGAACCCTTGCTCTTATTATATTTCTGATTTCTCAGTTTTGTCATTATTTTAGCAAATCATTTATTTTATATGTTTTGAGACAGTTTGTTTGAAGAAGTTTTAAAGAGTTAGAAAAAAAGGAAAGTAGGCTAAAAGTTAAAACTTTTTTATTTAAGTAGGCATCTATTTTTTATTAAGTAGGCCTATTTATTTTGTATTAATACATAACCTTACTGTATTCATTCATAATGTATCATTATTGCGTGACATTTGTGTCAATAATCGTCAAGCACAGGGCACTTCGCGTAGTGGGAGTGGGCCCCCAAATCAAATTCTGCTTAGGGCCCCCAAAAGGCTCGGACCGGCTCTGGAGACCAGACAGACAGTGTGAGTTTTTTGTGACAATTGTGAGGGAAATACACAATTTATTCCCATAAACTGTGTAGTCAGCCGTTCTCCCTCCCATCTGCACCGTGTGAATTGTGAACGCAGGCAGGTCAGTGAGTTACAGGGCGCTCCTGGTCTCCATCCAGTTTAGGCTGGTAACTAATAGGCCTGTTATATAGTTTATATAGAATTAAGTTAGCAATAGCAGAGTTGTTTGTTTTGCAGCACTGAGCAGTTATTTTACATAACTTTATCATAAAAACAGTACAAAAGCATTTCCAGATGACAAATATCTGGACATGCCTAGTTAATGTTAATTATTGTTTTCTAAGAACAGAATGTCAATTAAAATGTTAAATGTAAAATTAAATGTAATGTAAATCTCCCAAGAAATTCTGTACAGATACCAAATACTTTGACAATCAATATATACTTAATACACTTCTGCTAATGCAAGGATTTTGTGTTTGTATTTTTCCCCACACCAAGCCACGCCCCTCAATAAGCCCCTCCCCCATAACCCAAGCCCCGCCCCCAAAAAATCTCACTCTAAGCTGAACTCAAAAGTTGGCA